GACCTTGCATGATGGAGGAGTATCAGTCGCTTCAACTACTGTTCCCCAGACCAACAATATCCCCCCTAATAACACCACCCATAGCAACACAAACATCAACACTCAACAAAACAACAACAACAACAACACTAACAACAACAAAAACAAAAACAAAAAACGACACAATAAGACACAGAGGGGCAGACTGTGTCAAAAGACTACTCACAAAAATGGTAAGAATTGCTTGGATTCTTATTCTATTACTCAGATTAACCTCAAACGCAAGTTTAATGCATGGAAAACCCTCCTAGCCAACATACATGGCAGGAAAAATCCAGTCATTCTTGCTACTGAACCGTACTCGAATAACAAAAATATCATACCACCTATAAATAAAGATCTGTCCAACTTCTACTACAAAATCGGGGATAAAAGACCCCGTGCCGCAATTGTACTGCACAAAAACCTGACAGCTAAATGTTGGGAACTTACACAATTCACAACACCCGATCAAGTGGCCGTTAAAATCCAACTCAGCTCGACAGAACTCATTCTGGCAGCTTCATACATGGATATAAACGGACCGGTACCGCCACAAGAAACATCACCTCTAGCAAAATATGCCAATGATAACAACATCCCGCTCATTATAGGGTCGGACACGAATTCCCATCACACCCTTTGGGGGAACAAGACATGCAATACGAGGGGAGAGGAGCTACTTGACTTTCTCTCCTCCCTAGGGCTGTCATGTGCCAACAAAGGATCATCCCCAACCTTCCTCAACTCTCGAGGCCACAATTCAATTATCGATCTTACAATAACAAACCAGTTGGGAGGAGACCTCATTAGCAATTGGCATGTTAGTGACCTCTACTCCAACTCTGACCATCGCTATATTATGTTCGACATAACTACAGGGCCAAAGAAGGAACCCAAACAGATCCGACTAGTCAAAAACACTGACTGGGACAGATTTGATGAGATCCTATCGAATAACCCCAACCTTAACAACACACAAATCAACACTACGACCGAAATTGATCACAATATAGACATCATCAATACTGCACTTAAGGAAGCCTTCGAGGAGGCATGCCCCATTACTTACATCTCAAGTTCCGTCCGCAAACCCCCCTGGCTAACTCGAGAAGTAGAGGAAGCACAGAGGGGAATAAGACAAAAACTGATTACAGCCCGAAAAAAGAAAACTGATGCCCTGTGGCTCGCTCTTAGAGAGAGCAACAAACAATACAACAGACTTATATCCAACTCCCAGCGTAATGCCTGGAGAACTTTTTGTCAGGAAACAGAGTCTGTTAAGGAATCCGGAAGGATGAACAAGATTCTGAAATCCTGCAACGACAACAAGCACACACTAGAAGCCGTTTACAAACCAAACGGAGACATCACCAAAAATGCAGAGGAGACACTGGAGGTCATGACACAAACCCACTTCAAGGATAGTGTCACTGACCCGCCAGTGCCTCCACCTGGACCTCTACCAATCACCACCACCTTACTCAATACCATCTACAGCCCAGACAGAATCGAGGAGGCTCTTAAATCCTTTGATCCGTTAAAAGCTGCTGGACCCGACACCCTCAAACCTATCATCATACAGAAAGCTTGGACACACATCAAAGACATCACCAGAACCATTATGACAAAAAATCATGAAACCCAACACATTCCAACTTTGTGGAAAGAATCCCTTGGAATCTTTCTCCCAAAGCCTGGAAAAACTGACTACAACCAACCAAAATCATTTCGCACTATCACCCTTTCTCCTGTGATGTTAAAACTACAGGAGAAGGTGATACTGTGGCATATGCAACACGACCTTAATATCGCTAAAGACATCAACAAACGACAATTTGGCTTTAAAAAGGGATGTTCAACCGAAGCAGCCCTTCATAAAGTTACTCACACCATCGAGCGCAGGATAGCTAAGAAGGGATATGTCTTAGGAGTCTTTCTAGATATAGAGGGAGCTTTTGATAATGTCTCTTTCAAGGCTATTTCTGACGCTATCAAGACCACGAAAGTGGACCCGGCCACAGCACAATGGATCATCAACATGGTAACTAACAGATTCATCACATTAAATCATAAGGATAAGTCGAAAAGGGTTCGGATCCGGAGAGGGTGCCCCCAAGGTGGCATCCTTTCCCCTTTCCTTTGGAACCTGGTAGTCGATGATCTCCTGGCCTACACCGCAAGAGACATACCAGGTTATCTGCAAGCTTTTGCAGATGATCTGCTTTCTCTAGCGGAGGGGAATGATTTAGACATCATCTGGAACAGAACACGCAAAACCATCAACACAATAGAAAAATGGTGCCAAACCAAAGATCTATCCATAAGCGCACTCAAAACACAAATAGTCATGTTTACCTGGAATAAGAAATGGACACTTAGACCTGTGGTGGTGGGTAACACCACTATAGGTCTATCCAAATCTGCCAAATTCCTAGGAGTGACCCTCGACAGCAAGCTCAATTTCAATGAACATATCACCAATACCACCAAAAAAGCTACGGCATCCCTTATGCAATGTAGAAGAGCTGTCGGCCCCACTTGGGGTATGAGCCCTAAAACATGCAAATGGATGTACACCGCTGTCATCAGACCTATTCTATCATACTGCTGTAGTATATGGATTAGGGCAACCCAAACAGACACCAACGCGAGGAAGTTCAAACGAGTTCAGGCATTGGCATTGAGAATGATGTCTGGTGCCATGCCTAGTACTCCCTTCATCGCACTGAACCACCTCACTAACACTCCAGATATCATACTTTTCCTGAGAGGTGAAGCAGCAAAGGGCACAGCCAGGCTTCAAGCATATGGAAGCCTAACCCTCGAAACTATCGCCCCCAGAAAAGGTACCATCACAACTCACACCACTATCAACAAACAATTCATGGTAGACCTCAACATACCACCCAAAGCAGAGAGAGACCTATCTATACCAACCATGATGCTTGAACGACGCTTCACGGTCACCACTCCTGGAGCTGACAACATTGAATATAGAGGCTCACTCCAAAACACCATCGACAACATCCCCAGTGAAACCATCACCTGCTACACAGACGGGTCACGCACAGACTCAGGTAGCGGGGCTGGTTATATTATCACCACAGACAACAACAACACTACACTAGATGAAAGATCATTCAAGCTTCCTGATTATTGCACCGTTTATCAAACTGAACTCACTGCCATCATCGAAGCTTGTAAATATCTATCAACTTACACAAACACACATATCATCATATGGTCAGACAGTCTCTCCTCTATTCAAGCTATATCCTCACCTTCAACGAGGAGTAGAACCACTAGAGACTGCTACGACACCCTCAATACACTCGGATCCACTAACACCTTAGAGATCAGATGGATAGCAGCACACATCGGATTGTGGGGTAATGAAAAAGCAGACGAGCTGGCCAAAAATGGCACAACCAGTGAATCCACTTTGAATTGCCCAATTCCACAATCTTACATCAAACGCCTGATCAACGACAAAGTCACAAAACTTAATCAAGAATCATGGATTACTAATGGTCCCAGACACACTAAACTGACACTTGGACATAAAAACATCAACATCATCAAAAATCTCAACACTACACTCAGCAACAACAGACAAAATTACAGAACTGCAGTGCACCTCATCACGGGACATTGTGGCCTCAACAAACACCTACACACCATCCACAAATCAGACACAAGTGCTTGTCCAAAATGCGGCGACGGAGAGGAGACTGTCTCACACTTTCTCGGACAGTGCCCGGCTATTGCCCAAATAAGAGGTCAATATTTCCGGGACTACTACCTCTCTGTCAATGACATATTCGACAACCAACACATCTCCACCATTGTCAACTTTACAAACCACACTAAACGCTTAGTGGTGCCGGAGGAGTTGGACCAGACAGGTGTAACATAGCGACTACTTTAACGCCGTCTTGTTTCGCCCCTCTCTTCCACACTCAACCACTAATTAAGCGTTTATCTATAACACACCCCACAACACTTACCATCATCCGTGATTACACATCTTGATTCCGCTGGCATCCTCCCACAGGACTGCCATACCCCAGAGGTAGGCAAAGCATCCATATGCTATCCTCTCGTGGGCCAACCAGGCCCAGCCTCTCTTTAAAAAAAAAAAAAAAAAAAAAAACGTTCAAATTCGCCCAAATTCAGTAATTAGTGATCTAAGTTCTTGCCTTAAATCATCGCTTATATTTGATATTCTTCTTCAAACTTCCTAAGCAGTGGAGAGATCACTAGAATTGGTAGTAGGAGTTTTATATGAACTCGTGTAACACGTGGTGTAACACGTGGTGTAACACGTGGTGTAACACGTGGTGTAACACGTGGTGTAACACGTGGTGTAACACGTGGTGACACATTTACATGATGACCTGGTATTATGGTTGGTACTGAGGTTGGTACTGGAGATAACTTGGCAACGTTTCCAGAATCAATATGATATAATTCGCCAATTCGGCTACCCAGGTTTCTATCCAGGTCAAGGTGATTGAATATATCAGTTTACCAATCGATTAAAAGGAGTGAGTTCATCAGTGGTATTGTTTAGTGAGTTAAGAACCAGGAAACAAAAGGGGCGCGCACACGTGTGACAGGGTTAAACATCTACAAATAAAGTGCTTTACTTTTGTATACATTACATTGTTAACCCGAGTATTGTAATTTAGTCATATTAATTTCTGCTTTTTGTTCATACAATCAATTTTGTTATTAATAATTTCGGTTGATAACAATCAGTTTCATCAACAGATGTTTGACAGGTTTGTACGTGTTTCAATCAAATATGACGATTACATTTTCAAATAGAGTGGAACATGGCACAGTTTTCCTAACAATCTAGAACACGTACTAATCACAACAACAGCTCTCTGTAGTAGATCACCCTCTGCAGTATCTGGATCACGTGTACAATCTCCACATTATAGATCTGACATGTACCGTGGCACAGTAATTACGTGGTACGATGGCGAGGCCAGCTCGTCACGTGACATTGCCATCATACAGGAAGGCGCTAGAAAGTTGGATGGTTTCCAAATTTGAATGTTCATCAGTCCGGCAACCGTAGATCGTCGCATCTTGACGTGTCCCAATAACGCTCCTTCATCAATCTTTTTAAGGAAAAGATGCATGCTTTTACATTATATGAAGAAACGTAATATATATTATATGCTAGAGACGTATAATGTTTGAAACCTAATGAACATCGTGCAACAGATAAAATAACAGAAGTATAGGAATAAGGGGGGGGGGGGGGGGGGGGGGGGGGGGGGGGGGGGGGGGTTGGGGGTGACACGTGACACGAGTATAATAATAATAAGACAGACACAGCACACCTAACTATCAAAAAGAATGTGCACGAATAAAAATACTAACAAAGTACATATTATATCGTAATGGATTTCATATAATGTTACCTGCAGTCGTTTTGAAGCGAATGAAAGGTGATTTGTGATAATATTGAAACTTTGACAGATGATATTGGAGCTGTAGTGGGTGACTAGGTGATGGTTACAGGTGATGTTGAGGTGTTACAGGTGACAGTAAATACCTGTAGCTCATGGTCTGGGGGTGTCGGAGGGAGGGGTCGTTCTCTGTTCTTATGAGTCCCTCCTTTGCTGGGCTCTCCCACTGTTTTATGCACTGAAAACATTTACTGGTTTTACTTATGGTAGGTATATTCTGAAAATGATATGATTGTACAAACTATTATGATAGGTCTGTTAAATGCAAAATCGACTAAAATTTAAATTATTTTTATCATAATGTAATATCCAGAATCCAGATTACCAAAATGATAACTTAAGTGTGAAATATATATAATATATTCTGGATTATGGAACTCTGTGCTTATCAATTTATGTACTATTTATACGATGTTCCCTGATGCTTTTGCAATGTGCGTGGTAGAATTATTGTAGATTCTGGATGTAACACGAATAAAAGTTGGAGCTTGACCTAAACATAGTTCAATTCTTTGGAACCACATCATTGTTGATAGGTTGCGTTGAGTCCAATTATCACAAAGCTATATGCGCCGGTCATTTTTATCCGGTTATTTTTATTCCTACATATGCGTGGTGAAATTGTAATTTCTGGATGATTTATCCAACTATATGAAAGTCGTTACTTGGCCCTGAACATCGTTCCCTTCGTTTGAAACCATGTTATTGTTGATAGGTTGCGTAGATATCGATTATGGAAAAGTTATGCTTCGGTTATTTTCATCTTCTATGGGTTTGTTAGTGTCCCTAGGCCAGCCACTATACACTCCGATATCACAAGCTCAAACTTCTTTTTCCTAAATCTAAGCGTTGATGACCACAATTGAATTATTATACTTTTTCCATTTGTCTAAAATTAGAATAGCTTATAATTTACCCAATGACCATTCATTTTTAGAAAAAAAAGAAAGAAATACAAATCAAGAGAAGTACATAAACCCACGCAAAATATAAAAGTTATGTAACTGTATTTATTTGGTATGCCATAAGGATCGGAATCTGTCAAGATTGGAGACAAATTTCACATGGAAAGTGGAAACATATTATGACAGTCAAACGATAAAGGAGAAATACTAATTCAGACAGTTCATTTTAAAGATATAATAACAAATATACCTCCTTTTAGTTTTCACAAAATAGACATGAATTCGAATAATAATCGAACGAATATCATTATATTCGATCATCTTAACAATCACATTATTTCCTTTAAAAATGTTAAAAATCAATCATCTTAATCAAATTTGCTCCTGGCATTTTATTGTTCATCGATCCTTTTTACCGATCATTTAAAATAGAAATGAATTCGAATATCAATAGAACGAATATCATTATTGTCAATCTTCTTAAGTTCTTCAAAAAAACAATCACCTTTTTTTTCCCTTTTTCTCTTTAAAAAAATTTAAAAACTATCATCTTAATCAAATTTTCTCCAGTTCAGGCTTTTCATTGTTCATCGATCATTTTGACCAATCATCTTAAATCGATACTTTTTTTACTTTTTGTAAATTAAAAAAACCAAACATCTTAATCAATTTTGCCCCACGTAGATCGTAGGGCAATAATTTTAATCACTCATCTTAATCATTGAAAATTTAAATGTTCGCCTAAATCAGAGTTATAAAACGAAAATGATCACTTAATGTGGGAAGAGGATGGAGATCAAATGTATAAAGTAGTTCTGATCAGATTTCTGTATATCCTCGTCTTCTTTGAGCCAGATGACAAACTTTTCCATAGATGGTGAGTGGTAGAAGGAGAACTTTTTCTATGTAGTTTCTGTACCGTGCTCTCATTTCCGGTTTACGCAGGATCAGGATGGTTGGGAACAGTGCTGCGTTCATCAGAGGAAGTGTGAATTGTAACATTACACAGATCATGGGTACTGGCAATACGTTGAAAATATACATCATCAAGGGGTATGTCATAATATAGTACAAAGAGACGCTACTCAAATACAGTAACGAGATTAGAAACATTGTTAAGTTAACTTGGTTTGCAGTGTTCAGCTGTGGGTTTTCGTGACCTCCAAAGGCTTTCTTTATATAGATCATCTGAAGAACCATGCATACAAGCACGATCAAGCAAGGCAGACCAAACTGAACTAAAGCCACAACTATCTGCATGATAGTTATAATAAAAGTTGCTGCGCCATCAGACAATGCAAAATAACGCACCATCAAATCTGTTACAAGTCTTGTTGTGCCTCGTCCAATTGTTTCTATTTCAGGTATAACGTTCCATGGACCCATCATAACACCACATTTTGGGCTATCATTAACACTAGTTATGAAATCATTCCAGGCCGAAACATCAATAATGCACAGGACCAGGAGAATGGACGGGTAAATGAAGAGGACTATTTTCAAAAGTCGGTTATTCTGCGTGTAAAATGGACGCATTATGTTAATAGTCTTCACAACCGTTAGCACAAGAACACAAAACGTCGAAGTAACGTAGCAGAGTACACCAAACTTTTACAGACCACAAATGTCCAAGTATGCATCCTCATAGAAGGGTCCTTCAAACACAGTAGTGATATTGAGCCTCGTCCTATCTCAAAACACGCACTTCCAATGTCCACAGCACCAATCAGAATGAAGAATCGGCAAGAAATCCTTCTCCAGTCCTTGTGGTAATCATATATGATCACGGAGTTCTGGATAATAATATAAAGAGCTGTACTAATATTGAGTGGGGATATATACTGATACCCCCATAAATGACCGTCCACGACTACAGAGGTACTGGGAGGCGAGTTAGCAGTAGTCATATTATTTGTCCAGATCATTGTTCTGCAGGGTAACTTTACGAGGATTTGGAGGGAAAGAACTAACTACACAATCCCGAAATGAACTGCGGAAAAATACTAGGTAACTTGCTCTTTTGTATCAAATTATCTCTGACGAAGATAATGCACTGTGAGAATCTTACTTATAGTAGCTACAGTGACTTTTGGATTGTTGCGACTTTATTTCCTATATTATTGTATCAAATTTATTATTAGGAACATAATACGCCATGGGAAATTCACTTATAGTAGCTACAATGAGTTCTGGATTCTCGTGACTTTATTTCCTATTAGAATTATTTATTTTTTATTATTTCTAATACAATGGCTTTAAGAAAAAAATGGGTAAAATAGGTCCTCGCTGTTTTACAAAGATCCAATGTTGAATGTTAGCATCTAACGTGAGCGTGAAAGATGATATAAGCTTTAAATACTTTTACATCTTTTAATTGATTTTAGATAGTTGTCCGTCTGGCAGAACTTTGGGATGTTATTTTACCATCGAAGAGTTAGAATACAGTTTTATATATTATGGGTTGAACAAGTAGTCTATAATGCAAGGCATATTGTGATTTAACCCTCTATAGGTTAGCCCGAATAGCAAAGGTTGTTAAAAAGCTATTCCAAATAAAGACAGGGATAATAAAATTAGAACTGCAAATTTGACGAAAAAATTACTTTTTACAAAGACCTCATATATATATATTCGGTCAATTTGATGTTAGAAGTCAGATATTGTTTAGAAATTACTGCTTCTATACCGCAAATCTGGACTAAGATTATTTGATTAAGGGTATTAAATCGGTTTTGGACAGCATAATACATTTTGTAACCCGAGTTAAAAAGTCGTGAATCTAACCTACCGGAGGTTACAAAGAAAAGAAGATGCAATTCAATTTTCAGAACAGATCTTTTAAATAGGGCACACAACAGAGGACTTCTAAATTACCATTGTCTTTGTCACATTTCTCACGTTTGTTATAATATCATAATTTACCTGCCTAGTGAAGCTAGATTTAAATACAGAGTATGAACGTCGCCACACTAACTCTACTAACTGTCCTTCTGTGGGGACTACTTGGAGTGGTTAAAACAAGGACTATCGAGCGTGCAGAGAAGATGGAGCCAAGAACCACCTGGCACCTAGCCATGAACCTGAACCCCAGTGATGGTCACATGATGAGCTATACTGTAGGGTGGACAGATGATGTTTTCATTGGAACCCACGCTGAGGCTCTAACTAATGATTATCTGAACAGACTGGTCTGGAGACACCCAGTAAGCTACATAGCAATAGTTAGACACCATGCAGGGGAGGTGGACGCAGTGAAAGTGTTCCGGTTCAAGGAGAGTGATAGATCTATGCTGTCGAGGTTCAATGCAACAGATCCAGGGAGGGAGGTTGTTACTGAGGGAGGTCCGCTACAGGTAAGTGTCAGTAACCACGCTCAGAACATGGATGAAGATACCATATTTTCAGTGGGAGGAGATCTAGCATTTAACTGGATCTACACAAATAACGGACACCGGGTAGTGATGACAGGAGGTCACCTGTCTACAGTGGATAGTAACGACGACAAAACAAGAGGTTTAGGAAATGACTTGCAGTGCAATCCTAAAACTGGGGTTTCAATCAAAAAGTGGGCAAGTGAAGTTCTGAACATAGCAAGTGGATATTTCTATCTACTAGGAACCGATTTTGGAGCCGGGTGGAAGGAGTTGGGAAGAAGTGGCCGTGGTTCGTTTGGGAACTACGCTATATTCGTGTCGGAGGAAGCAAACTCATTTCCGGGTCCCGGATACAAGCTGGGTCTTACAGTTGAGGCGGAGAGCAAACCGTGGTTTGACTGGCACGGAGGGGACATGTGAAGTTACAAACTGTGGTTTGACTGGCACGGAGGGGAAGTTATTTGGAGTGGTTGGTATATATTATATTGAGCGTGAGAGACTTGGAACATTCCAGATTATTGTTTAAATAGTGCAGTTAATCAGTGGTTTCATAATGCAGTTTTGTGGTTTAAAACTTTATGAGACTGCTCATCATATTAGATCCTTTGTAAGTTTTGAAATAAAGTATTTTAAGCATCTATTCTACCCTTTAAAGCAATTATGTCATATTTGGAATTTGAAAAATGGATAGCCTCGGAGTGTAGTACTAACAATTTATATTCTTAATATAATCTAACAACTTGAATACATTAGTAACAACAAAACATCAAAACATAAAAACAGCACATACTGGGTAAGGTAGGTAGAGGCCTAGCCGTGTTCACGGTGTGTTTGTTGATATTCTCCAAGCTCTTTGAGAGTGTTTGTCCCTTCACCAAGCTCCCTCCTCCTCCACCGTGATGTTTACTATCTTTGTGGCTATCTTTGTGGCTTTTCTTCAGAGTCAGGTTACTTAGCAGCTTGTCTACTCCTGCTGTAAACAGGGTATTACTTGAACGTACTGTGGAGGATATAGTGTTATTGTTATTACAGTGGTAGTGAGATACGGAGAGTGCTTACATTTCTGAGATATGTTACCTGTCTTAGCCCGTTAAATTAATTAATTAATTTTCAGTTGTGTAAGTTGAACTTTTGCAAAGATGATATGAACAGCTGCACTTGGCCCAACATTCAACCACATCTCTCACATTCCACGTGTAATCTAATTAAACATTCTACACTGCTCCAAAACACGTGATTACTTCACTTAATTAAGTGCTAGGATTACAGTAAAACACGATCTTGGCACCCGGAACAGTCAAACTGCACAAAATATTCTGAATTCACAAAATATTTGATGTAGAGCTTCCCTCGGTCCGGGGTGTGCCAAACACTAAACAGTGAGCTCTAATATATAAATGTGTAGGCAGGCACTTAAATAGCACGGCACATACCTATGTTTTCATGACAAATTGCCAAGATAAACTATTTTCTCTGGTATTCAAAAAGTGTGAAAGTACATCGCGAATGTTAGCATTACTTGACGTGTATTTACACCGGGAGATCAATCACTTCCTGGTGTTTAAACCTGATCACGTGACAAAATACTCCAATCTGATTGGCCTGCTCGACATTTCCGACAAAATGAGTCTAAATACACAACACATGATGTGGTGCTCACTGCTCGCCACATTGGAGTGGGGAACAACCCAGCACAGTACAGGATAGTACCCTAGTGTATACTGTATACTGTACTTCACTGGTATTACTATTTATATTGGTAATAATACAGTGCTTTAGATATACTATTATACTTTACTGTATAAGTAAGTACTATTGTACTTTACTGTAGAAGTAAGTACTACCTCAATATTTATACCATTGGTGCAAGGTAATGTGTTTCAGCTAGATAATAGTGCCCGATTGTATATACTATACAGTGCTACTGCATTGTATAAACTATACAGTGCTACTGCATTGTATAAACTATACAGTGCTACTGCATTGTATACATTATACAGTGCTACTGCACACTGGTTGAGACGTACTAAAATTCACTGCTACTCTGATATTTGAAAAGCGTAATGTGGTTCAGCTGATCGCACGGTAGAGTTTGGAATTGGCCACATTACATCTTAATTCACTTTAAACGAGAAATGTGAAGAATGTGAGAAATGTGCCTTCTCCCAGACTAGCTGACTCAGTGTCTTGATTATTTAAGTTGCAAGTGTGATTTCCCGTGTTGGTGCAAAATACGAGAGATCATGTGTTGTGTAGTGAATGTGCTGATACACTTCACTGTTTGCTGAAATCTACTCTGTTATTTTATCTGGTATAGATATATGATATCTGCATCTCAGAAATAGGTACATTGTCATTTTCAAGTCCATTCACACATTCATTTAAATGTTTAATGTGAAGTAAGATTTTTAGAGTAGTGATCATATCTTCAAATTCTTGGGCTGATAAAATAAAACTGGTATAATAAAGTTCTGACTTCTGTGAAACTTAAATGTGGGCTGGAGTTATGTTTCTACAAATTTGTATAACTCATATTATGTAATTAACCTAATGGGCACTGAGTGCTGCGTGTTGTGGTTTAATTAACTGTGTGGATTGGTTCCAAATTCTTTAATTACTTACAAATTTACATGTGAAAAATTCAAAATGTTTGCCATGAGATGACGTCATTGTTTGATTGTCCCAGATAAAAGTTAATGATACTTACAGGTAAAGTGTCGACAACTTGATGACTGATAGAAAACATATAATCAGCGATCGAAACCCTTAAAATTAAAATGAATTATTATCTAATAAGAATTAATATGCACATCAAAGTACAGAATAATGCAAATTTGTTGTCAAATAGTTGGCAGAATTGCGTAACGGATGAGCTAATGGTGACACAACATTCCAAACTTTAAAACATTTATCCCACTTTCTTTTAAACCTACACCAGAGTGGCAACAACTACCACTTTTTACACAATTTACATGTATATTAGTGAGTGAAAACTACCACTTTTTACACTATTTACATGTATATTAGTGAGTGAAAACTACCACTTTTTACACTATTTACATGTATATTAGTGAGTGAAAACTTTAATTACCCTCCTGAACCTCTCAACTTCCAGTATGTAATCTACATAATTCTCACAGTTTTACAGATAACTAATTATCCACAACCTGATATGCTAAGAATGTGTGCTCAGCTGCCCCACTTAATAATATGTACAGTGAAAGTGCTTAGTACAAAACACATTATAAATAACGGACAATAATTATAATATGATAGTACACGGCACTACAGGAGGTATTTAACTTACGCAGTAGGAACAGATCAAGTCCTGAATATTTCATCAAATAAAGATTGGTATTTTAAATGATGTCCCCTAAGTTTAATTATGTAGTTCTTATGTTACAAGTGGTTTAAGTGTTAACTATAAAATGTTAAATCTGTTAGACATGTACAAACAGTATAATGATTTACCAGCTGTTTTCTTCTTCTTTTTATCGGAATGAGGAGTGCCTAATTTCTTGGTTTTACTGATAGCTTCAGACGCCCTTGCATACTCAAGACCCTCGTCAAGCATCACCACTTCTGATGCGTCTTTGGAGGACTTCTGTGGTGGGTATTATATTAGGACGCAATGAAACTATACATATGTAAGTAAACATTTAAAAATTGTTCAAAATTACGGTGAACGTATAATGAACTAGTTTAAAGTATATTTTTTAGGGAAAAATACTGTGAAACAATGACACCCGGCCTGCAATTAAAGTTAGCATATCCAATTGATGGCGCTTAATAGTTAATAACTGTACATATCCAACTGATAACTGTGATATTACTCAACAAATACCCAGTTTTTATATGCATTTTTTTACAAATTTTGTTTCTTCAATTCAAAAATTTTGAATTAATTTAATAATCCTCACTCCAGTTCTGCTCTCCCACAAGCTACTCAACAAACAACTATCTCAAGCTCAAGTTGGTAGGCGTGAGACTGATTATATTATCTCTGAGAAGTTCATATTACTAATTAATCTACTCTCTCAGAATTTTACAGGGATTGTTCAAAGATTGCCATTGAATTATATACTTTCTAACTTTGAGAGCAGTTCTTTCTAAGTTAGGTAACACTTTCTAGTAAAAACATAAAATAGTTAAAAAATAATCCGAACTTAAATGTGCTCGTCAAACTGTGAAACAATGACACCCGACCTGCAATTAAAGTTAGCAAACCCAATTGACGGCGCTTTGTTATAATCTATTATAAGTATTCTTGCAGTACTCTGTCCAAATTATTGTCCGAAATATACTACAATCTTAAAATGTGACCAACAACTGATAACTGTGATATTACTCAACAAATACCCAGTTTTTATATTATATGCATAATATACAGGGTGAAGAATAAGGATATCTACCGGGTTGTATGATCTTATGATGAACCAGTTACAGTTCTACAGTATGAACCCTAAAATTATCAACGCTTCGGCAAAATGTAAAGAAATGTAACCTTTTTTAGCGCAGGTTTAGCTGGAGGAATGGTAGAGGTTGGCGTGGGAGGGTTAAAGTAATCGTGGTCACTCCTCCTCTTATTTTCCTGCAAAGTGAAACTTTCATTAAATTTGATTCAGAAATACTCGTGGCCACTGTTACAAATTTTAACAGTTTGTATTAAGTTTAAGACGATAGAATTCCAGGAAGCATTAAAAGTAAGGTATGTTGACTATGTATTATCAAACGTAAGGTAGTAATAAAATATGTTAGCGTGTAATAAATATTTGGATATATAGTATGAAAAGTTAGGTTGTAAGGTGTTCATAAACTTTATAAAGATTGAAGAGTACACCACAGTCCACAATCTTATCAATAGTGAAATACACATTCCATGTTAACATACAAATATACCAGCTCCTCTTGACTCCCCAAGTATTGGCACAGTAAACACCATAAATATTGACGCTGCTCGGGGGGATGTATTCCCAAAGTTTGTGCATGTCAGCACACGATGTAAACCTCCGCCTCGAGCTCTTCTCTCCCGACCCTCGCTTTTCTAATCTACAGACCACTCAAGACATACATGTCAAGTTCTAATTATATTACGAATGGAGTGAGAGCCAGCGCGCAGTATTGCTCAACTTTGTAGTTTACTTATATATATGACAAGGAAAGGAGAAAGGTTATTTATAGTGAGGAGTAATCTATACTTAGAACTTTGGAATGGAACACTGAACAGAAATCTGTGTTGTTCCTATGTAGATGTTTAAAAGGGTTTTTAGTTGTGACTTCAGTAATGCTAGTGTTGAAATGTTGAGAGAATATTGAAAGTGATACGGTAGTGTTAAAGGTGTGAAATAAGATAAGATCATCGCAAGTTAAAAAAACTTTATTATTTAAGTTAAACTAACTGTGTTTTGTGTAATAGCACTGGGAGGGACCATGTAGATATCAGATTCATCGTCTAAGTGTGAGTTTGGGGAGTGAGGGGATGTGTGGGGACCCTGTTTCTGTGGAATGGACGGTGGGCTTTCTCTTCTAGCACTTTCTGAAAAGAATGCGTTTTGAAAACAAGTTGGACGTTGGTGCAAATTTGCGATCAGTCTGAATGAAATACTCAAAGCACCGTAACATTCGGAAAATTCAGTGTTTTGAAAAGTTAACCTTGCTGTGAAGAAGATATTCCTGAATCATTCGATCTGATTGATTCAGATGAAACTTTGGTTGAATGTAGGGACTCATTGCTTCTGTTCGTTGGGTAGATTTGGGAGGAGCATGATTTCATTGATTCGTTACTGTAAAGTATATTAGTTACATCATACATGAAACACTGAATAGTACTGGTTGAAGCCGCTTGGTAACGAATATAATAAACATGCTATTTGGGTAAAAATAGGAATCATAGCATGGTTCCCGCCATAAATCAAACCTTCCTAACACTAATGATAAACACAATATGCAATAGAAAAGCATAAGATCCAAACCTGGAATTGTTCGGAGCTCCACTATCATATGCTTCGTGAGATGGGACTTCGTCGTAATCAGCCCCAACTTCATCCTCAGCAATCTCACTGTAATCGGTAACTCCACCAGGTGCGTCCATATCCATATACTCACTGGTTTGGTGCTGAAGAACAACTTTGACCGGTGAAGCAGGGTAGTTGATTCTCCTTGGTTCTGGTGTACGTTTAGGAGAAGGTTGGAGATGAGTGAGTGATCCTTTGTTCAGATCTTTCAATGCTGCAGCTGAGGTGTTCATGTATATTTCCTCTTCTTCATTGCTTCCTTGCATATTCTGGTAGTCTGAGTATACATACATATCGTTCTGAAATTGGGGACGGTAACTTTTACTTTCTATTCATAAAATATGTAATTCACCACTAACACAATCAACAAATTGATCAATATTTTGAACGCTCAATATTAACTCGATAACTAAATATTATTTAGTAAATAACTATGGAAAAATTAATAAGGGCACGTCTCTTCAAGGTATATTGAATATTTTGATTGAGTCTAAATGTATTGTAGCAACCCGATCTTAGATTATTTTCATATTGAAAAGTACAATCTTACCCCATCAACTGGACTTTTTGCAGTTTGGTTATTGATGTAAACATTGCTTTGGTTGTTGTGGTTCTTGGGGCTATCATAAATACTTTCTTCATTGTGATTTGCATTCATGGGCTTGACAAGTATCTGAAGATAGTTTGAGGGTGCCACTCCTTTCTTGTCTCCAAGCTGAAATAATTGGTTACATTTTTGAAAATTTACTGAAATCTAAACTGTCATTGCATCATCTAAAACCCCAAAACAATAGAGAAATAATGGTCTTAGACTTGAGTGCAAGCTTCAATAAAAATTTACTGTGCATAATTGTTCAATAGGCTTACCTGACATAGGTGCCATCCATCTTGGAAGTTTTCTTTCAAGACTACAAGAAGATCATTTATCTTGAATGACAATTCGTCCGAATCTTCAGCCTCATTATTATAGAGCGCAAGAGCTTTCAATATTGCTGTCATGTAAATTCTATTCTTTAAGATATGTACAGGCTGTAGGTATTATTAAAAATCATAAGTGGCTTCTTCACCAAACATCTTCTGCATCCTATAAATAAAATACAGTGAGAAATTTTAAAACATGATGCATGTAATTATTGTAATTTTTCATACTAAAATTGGGTTCAGTCATGATATTGTAAAATGCTATAAAATCTATTAATTAATTTATTTACCTTCCGCACTATCTTGCAATGCTTGTGAAACTAGTAGTCTACTAATAGAAATAACACAAAAGTTTTTATTTCTAGTCTTTTGGATATTTATTTTCAACCAATAATTGAAATTTTAAGTCAACCACTTCTAGGTAAAATCCGGATTGGAATAATATTCATGAGTCGCATAGTTGAAATGTTTCTTGGGTAAATTTAAATATTAAATACTTTCAACACTACTATATAACAAATAATTTGATATCATGAATACGATGTTGTCACATTGAAACGTTAAATAATTCCTTTCCTGATAAGCGCCTTTTCCTTGTCGCATCTAACGGGATCAATAGAAATTTAACTAAGAAAACACTTCTAGGTAGTTTGACAAACATTGATACATTGACAAAAATTAACTAAAAAAACTCCTTTTTTGAGATAAGAAGAAGTTGAAGATGAGCCAAAATGTAAAAAAGGAGACACAGTAAAACAATTCGCATTAGATCCAGAGGCGGCTTGTGGGAGCTTGCTGGTGGTTATGTTGGGCGTCTGATCATCGTACTCAGGGGGCGCCTCCCCCTCCCCCAACTGCTGGAGGCTATTTGCCGATGTAATGTGTAACAGGCAACAGCAAACAAAAATGGAAACTTATAAAATTAGTGAAATATAGGACACCACACGTGTATGATCTCAGCCGCACAGTATGATAGCAGATAGCTGGGTGTCAAACAGTATATATAATAATAATTATTATTATAACGCTTTATTTGTATATCGCTTAGGCCGTATAAGCGACCAGAGTCCAAAAAAATGGGGTTGATACAATAAATTAAATCAAGTGATGCAATTGGCAGAGCACAATCGTAAATCATGAGAAATAAAAATCATCTATCCCTTGTAGCTCTTCTCCTCAGGTATCAGGTTACATGCCTTCTTTGCCTTCCCAAGTACACCTCTAACTGATACTAGCACATAGCAGATAGTTCAAATCGCAAGGGTCCTGGATGCCCTGATTGTATAAATTTCCAGTACGTTGATGCGATGATGTGCTTTGTAGCATTTGCAACTAACTATGTGTTGACTACTACACGCTGAGGCGTCCAAACGGGGATTGGACGCCTCAGAACATGATTTCACAAAGATCATGCTTGCGCTTACATTCAAACATTTGAGTAAAATAACAAGCTTTATATTGCGATATTTCCAAATATTTTTTCTTTTTTTAAAAGTAAAAATTATTCAAACAATATACACATAATTGTCACAATGACCCTATATAAAAACAGCCCTTCAAAAAATCTATATATTCCCTATCTCAAATATTGGGAGAAACATTTGAAAATCACCCTTGGCCTTGTGGCTCCAAATTCAAATCTAGACTATCTATATTAACAAAGTTCTTTCTTGCACCTCTGTCTCCCCGGAGAGAAATCACTGTTATTCTTAGGATTTCGAAACCAAGGCGCTTCCTGGTTATTTATAATATAATATATATTATATATATAATTTACTGGGCCGCGCTCAGCCTGTCATCCCGCCAAATCTTTATTCGTTTATGAACATAATAGCCTGGGGTCCCAGGTAAACATTTGCATTTTATTTAGCTTGTATATTACTTCCATGTTTTACAAAAAATAGATGCGGCCACCGCGTCATGCATGCTTAGTGTGCGAAAAATATTACACTTAAACGTGTGTCAATAAGTTTTAAAAATTTATTTTAGAAAATATGTAAGCGCTAAAAATTTGTTTTCCTTGATGCACCGCGCGCATTATCGTTATTTATGCTGCGCTTGCTCAGCTGGCTAGCTTCTTTAAAAAAAGTTTTTTAAAACAAAATTGCCTGAATAATTTCATTAAAAAAGTTGCTATTCACAGTCAAAGTTTATTGTATGATTATATCAAAGTTTATTTTATTTTGATTGAAATTGACGGTGTCAACCTTTCCAGATTTTCATGATTGTTGATTTTAACCTTATTTTAAACGAAAATAGTACATAAATGACAATAAGCATAAAGATGGAAGGACTTCGCCGCTTAATCGACGCGCCTGCGCAAACTATCATTTTTACTTCGCATCGAAGTACTTCGGGATCGCTGCTTTGTTAATTCGCAGAGCAACGCGAACGATTTGGAAGGGTTGACATTATCATTTATCAATCAAGCATAAAGAATAAAATTCGTAATTTCTCTTCAAGGCCGGAGACAGAGTTGCTATAATAGAGAGTCTAAACTTGAACTCAGAGCCACAAGGCCAATACAACTGTGAATTTTAAATAGTTTAGTCAATATTTAGGATTGGGAATTTACTGAATTTTGACGGTTTGATTTTATGTAGGGTCATCGTAATATCATGTGTATATTGTTTGAATACTGTTTATACTTTTTATAAAATTTGTTTTTCATTTATAGAATAAATTGAGGTATCGCCAAGTTTGAATATTTAAAAAACTTCTGTTTAAATGTGGTATGTGTATAGATTTTAAAAAGCCATAATGTTTTGTTGCTTGAAAAGTGGGATCAATTGTTTAGTTATCATATTCTCTTGCTCTTGTACTATGTACAAGGTAAAGTAAAGTAATAAAGTAAAATTTATGACATCACATCATCACACATGTCTACAAACTATCATCGCACTGTGTGAAAAAATATATAATAAATATTTCCCCACCAACATTAATTAATTATCAAATACAATATTTAAAAACAATTTCATCAAAAACATTATCCTATTTTAAAAACTTCTCAGTGGAACAAAGATTTATAAAACGCTTCTTTGCCACATAAGGATGGAACCAAAGATAATTGTTATGTTTCTCTTTATTACTGACATAACTGGCTCCCTCAATTCTTACTAAAACTTCATTAGAAACATTCCAAAAAAAGCAATCATTTGTAATACTTTTAGAAATCATATCTATCTTATATCCTTCTAATTTAATTTAAAACCTAAAACTGTCACAGAGTTCTTGACGTCCGGAGGGAGTTTGTTCCAATATGGAATAACTCGCTCCGGGAGAAAAGACTTCTGGATATTCTTGACCTTTGTCACACTTTTACTACATCTATTGGATGAAACCAGATTAAGACCTGATCTGCTTGGTCTGAACAAGTCTGAACCATAATCAGTCATACCATTAATAACCTTAAAAGCTTCAATAAGGTCCCCACGTATTCGCCGCTCTGCCAGCGTTGTCAAATTGAGGATTTCCAGTCTACGGCTGTAAGGAAGAGTACCCACCTCATCAATCAGACGGGTAAACCGCCTCTGGACGCTCTCCAGCTCCAAAACAGTCCCCCAACTTCCATGAGCCGCAGGTGGATTCCACAATTGGACACAATACTCAAGATGAGGTCTTATTAAAGCTTTATATATAGCAATCATAACAACCTTTTCTCTAATAACTAAATTCCTTACAATCCAATCTAGGTAAACTATAGGTAAAAATATAATATTAATCATAAGCTCAAATGTACTAATCTTTGTATTCTAAATGGGGAAAAAGAAGAAACATTGTCAGTCAGTCAAGAAAATTGTCAGTCAGGCTATATGGCAGCTTTGTCGATGTTGTGACTATGCTAGTAGTGGTCCCAGGCTTGCGACTGGAATTGCGGTGTTAAATCGATTTAATGGTATACCAACGATCCACCTCCCACTTGTTGTTTGGTACTTAGCATTAATAGTGTTACTGTTAGCTGTAGCCATTTATAGCAAGAATCTTAAAACTAAAGGGGATGACAAGGAAAAGTGGAAGGAAAAAGAATAACGGAACAAACAATTAATTAAAGTATTTATAGGAGCATTAGTTATTGTAATTACAAGCTTCAATAATAAATCACTGACTAAAACTTCTAATTAAAATGACACTTGGTACGCTCGCCCATTTTCACTGGTCAGTCTGAACTTCGGTTTAGCACGTTGTACACTTATTCACCTAAGTTTCAGAATTTGTTCAGTTTAGCAGAGTTAGTACCCGTGTTTCAATAAATCAAAAGATATCAGGGGAGTTCTTTAATAATGTTATGGTCATCTAGAATACCGAACTTCCTGAAAACGTTATCATATTTCCTCAGACAACGTTTAATGCCTTTAATCAGTCTATCACGGCTATATCCTCTATCAATTAGAATTTTGAATATTTTGTGAAGATGGGAGGTAAAGATATCCAATCTAGTGCAAACATTACCATTACATAATTGATAGCTTTTCTTGATATTGCTCTATAATTACATTTATATCTCTCCCGGCCATTGGTTCCGAGATTTGGTTGATCTTTGTTTTCTTGGGCGCCCTCCTTGAAGTCTTGTTGTTGTATATACATCTCCTGATTTATCCTGTATTTACCTGTTTATTTCATTTTCTGGCGTGAGCTGTCCGCCATGCTACGGTACGAGAAACAGCGGCAGTGCAAGATCCGGTTCTAAGAGATTTTTATGGTCGCGAAGAATCTCGCCAGGCTACACTGCGTCGGTGGGAGAACTATTTAGGTTCATGACATCTAACGCCCGCCCAATCATGGCAGCCCCATGACAATAGGTTGATGTCCGACCCGTTGTCCTTGGCCTATCTTGAGTCGTTGGGTCTAGGCGGAAACGCCGAAAGGGATGATGTTACCTTCTTGACTTAAACGTAATGGTAAATTTTTCTCAAAATCCTTGAATAAATGGGTAACCCCTAGTAATGTCTTTTCTAGCACTTTTAGATGTTGCAATGGTAGAGTTTGTCTCACTTGCAACAGTTTTAATCCTGTAAATACATTTAGGAGCAGTACTTTTAATAATGATTTTATCTTTGGACATACAAATTTTATATTTAATTGTAAAACTAATAATGTTATTTATGTTATTACCTGCTCTACCTGTAAAAAACAATATGTTGGAGAAACAACTCAACCACTTC